TTGGGATTAGCGCTAGCCCTATTTACATCTCGAGACCTGTGACGAAACATTGAGCTGGCCTTATCATTTAGCACTAACCCTGTCTACCGATTGTGAGATTTATCCTTACATCAGTATGTAGCATGTTTCATGTTTGATGAATCATTTTAGTTGGGCACGATGCCTTTAAACCTTATACGTGCCCATGAATCTTGTCAACAGAAGTCCAGAAATATCAGTTAAATTTTACCCCTGAAATGGTTATTTAAAGATCAAAAAAGGAGTCCCTTAATTATCAGCCACAGTAAACACTAGACTTCTAATGTCCAAGTTACCTTAAATAATCACTTTGGTCACATTACGAATGGAATTATTTTGAATTAAAAAAAAGAAGGAAAAATCCTTATAGAAAATAATAAGATCGACTAAAATATCTACCGGACAAAATCAAAACATGCTCTAAACATCAAAGTCAATAGAAGATGACGCCTCTTCCATTATCGGGGCCGCGATGACTCAGTGAGTAAGACGTTGGCTCGCTAACCTGTAGATCCTGTGTAAGGTCATTCGCCCAGTCGGAGCAGAAGAGTAGGACGTTAAACCCCATATTCATTTCAATTCATTTCTATGCCCTTACCAACAAAATATTTAAATAGAATTATAGAAATAACCATATAAAATATCCTTTAAATGTAGCAAAAGTTTGTTGTTGAAAATTAGCCAATTGAAAGGCACCATTGCGAAAATATTAAAAATTACCTTTTTATATGATTATACAGCAATTCAATTAAAATACAGATCTATATTTCGTTTTGTTTTTTATACTTTCGATGACCTCTACTACATCAAGATCTGGCCAGATGTAGCGGGATGTCGCGTCAGAGGTCATAAGAGCGGCTTTTGACTCTATGACATAAGGCATTTGATTAACGAATCCGCGTTGGTGTTTCTAGTGGGATACCAACCACAGTTCTTGGCACCGCACGGCAGATCATTTATTGGCTAATCCTTCACATCACCCGGGGGGTTGGATGGCCGAATGGTTAGCATGCGCGCGCTGTATCATAAGGTCTGTCATTGAGTCAACTAGCGTGGTTTCGACTTCCCGGTTGTACGTGGCAAGGAATAGGGTCGCCTGCCCAACCTCGTGGGTTTTCTCCGGGTCCTCCGGTTTCCTCCCACTGCTAAAGACCCCTACGCGCAAGCGAATTAGTGAAATAAAATTACGGTAGTAAAGACAAGTAAAACTATAAAAAAACGAAACGAAATAGGATCTGTGTTTTAATCAGATTGGGTTTACTACCCCCCCCCCCCCAAACACGCGCTTTCTACATCAACCGGGATAATGAAGAGGGGCATTTGCCATGCAGTCTGCTAGCGAGAATAATATTGCCTGCACTTCATCGATTTTCTCAACGTGCTTGGCAAAGTCTACACGTGACCTCCGGCTCTATACCCATCCTAACAACTAGATGTTTTCCTTGTCAGCCCCCACCCCCTGCGACCTGTATCACTGACATAGAGAAACCCAGCTGGAAAAATCTCGGTTAGTCAGCGTCCTAAGTGCGGAAATGAGTAGAGTTTCCGTTTTCTATGACTGAAAATTTGAAGTCAGTTAACACTTTAGACGAGAATGGAACGAATCTTATGATTCTTGTTTTTTTCTTTATTAGTAGGTCGTTCAGTTCTTGATGGTTATGCTCATGTTCAAATCTTCATGGACTTCGCCTACTCATAATTCCTCAATATATGATATGTCACGTCTCAGATATACGTCAAATCGATTCTGGCATGTGCCACCGCACCTAATACTAATATAAAAACAATAGTTTTACACGTAGGCTATAAGTACCGTGAAACCCTAATACAGATATAAAAGCAATAGTTTTTCACGGAGGCTAAACACCGTGAAACCCTAATACAGATATAAAAGCAATAGTTTTTCACGGAGGCTAAACACCGTGAAACCCTAATGCTAATATAAAAACAATAGTTTTTCACGTAGGCTAAACATCGTCAAACCCCTAATACTAATATAAAAACAATAGTTTTTTACGTAGACGAAGTACCGTCAAACCTTAATACTAATATAAAAACAATAATTTTTCACATAGGCTACGTAACGTGAAACCTTAATACTAATATAAAAACAATAGTTTTTCACATAGGCTAAGTAGCGTGAAACCCTAATACTAATATAAAAACAATAGTTTTTCACATAGGCTAAGGAACATGAAACCCCAATACTAATACAAAAACAATAGTTTTTCAACTAGGCTAAGTACCGTAAAACGATAATACTAATATAACTATAGTAGTTTTTTTACATAGGCTAAGTACTGTGAAGCCCTAATACAGATATAAAAACAATAGTTTTTCACGTAGGCTAAACACCGTGAAACCCTAATACAAATATAAAAACAATAGTTTTTCACGTAGGCTAAACATCGTCAAAACTCTAATACTAATATAAAAACAATAGTTTTTCACGTAGACGAAGTACCGTCAAACCTTAATACTAATATAAAAACAATAGTTTTTCACATAGGCTAAGTAACATGAAACCCTAATACTAATATAAAAACAATAGTTTTTCAACTAGGCGAAGTACCGTAAAACGATAATACTAATATAACAATAATAGTTTTTCACATAGGCTAAGTACTGTGAGGCCCTAATACAGATATAAAAACAATAGTTTTTCACATGCGGTAAGAATCGTGAAATCCTTAATAGCATAGTATCAGATAGTGGAAGTTCAACTTATGCAGTTACATGTAATTCAAACTTTTACTCACCCGACGCATCTTTATAAACCAATCAAGTTAATCCTTGTTTGGATGCTCGATTCACAACCCAGAACGTCCCCAGTTGACAGAATTGTGTGGATATTTTTTGATATCAAAAAGACGAGTAGGGGATTCTCTATATGTTCCTGATCAGTTAGTTGTTTAATAAATACTGTATCAAAGGATTTCGAATCTTAATGGTAGCCTATATTACGAGAGTAACTGTTGGTTTATTATCTGTTGCATCGATAGATATCAAATCTATTGAAATCGCGTTAAAACGTGCAGTAAATCAGTATTGCTTACATTTCATGCTCGATCAGTTGTTGGTTTATGAACTGTTGTATTTATAGATAGATCTGCAATAAATCAGTATTGCTTACAATTCGTGGTCGATCAGTTGTTGGTTTATGGATAGATATATGGGTTATAATATATTATGAGCTAAATTTGATCCTAACATTTGTAATATATTCATATATCAGATATTGTATGCGAGGAAACAGATAGGACTGAGAGTGTTAAATATTCCAGTAAATATTTCATGCGCGTGCATATAGTTCCCCCGCTGTTACACCCGTCCGACACGCCTACGATCCTTGTAAACGTTCAGCATTTTTAAAGCTCTACGACTGTAAGGTTGTTAGGATTGTTCGACTAAAGTCTGAATCAACGGTGGCCCAGAAAAACACACAGTGGCTCGCTAACCAGGGGGTTTGGGGTCGTTTATTTTTTTGTACATTGATATACGTTTAACGCCAAGCACGTTTGGGTGGTCAGCTGTCTAGGATTATCCAAAATGAAGTCACTTCCTGTTACAAGGCGGGGGTTTGATGGACGAATGGTTAGCTCGTGCGCGTTGTATCATAAGGTCTGTCATTGAGTCATCTGGCGTGGTTTCGATTCTCCGACTGGACGTGAAAAGGAATAGTGTCGCCTGTACAACCTCGTGGGTTTTCTCCAGGTCTTCCGGTTTCCTCCCAAATGTTAGTCCCCAAATAACCTAGTTTGTGTCGAGTGGACGTTAAACCCCATTTCTTCTTCCTATTACAAGGCATATCTTTAATTGAATGACAATAAGAACCCTTTGTCATCAAATTGTGAAACTTTTGCGAAAACTGAACAATATTTATTTCTATACCGGCACATAAGCTCGAAAGATGACACAAGCAAAATTGGCCATATCTTGACAAGGCTGAAATTAGAAACTAATGTAGTTTCAACAAGTATAAGTTACAAATATATAAATTAATATTTGCCACCATCAGAAGATCTACAATGATGTCACTTCCGGTGCCAACAAAGTTTTTAGTTCTAAAAAAATGTTTTGGTGTTTTTCTAAAAAGCACGTGAAATTTATATTAAGGGAGAAAACTGAGAACGTGAAATGAAATGAGATGGGGTTTAACGTCCTACTGTTCTGCTTTGAACTGGGCTAATGAAGACGGGCATACGCCTTACAGTGTGCTATGAGGGAAATTTTGTCCGGACAGCGGCACTACGGCCTACTCTTATATCGAATTTCAACTGTCAAGAGACCTTTTACGTGTACTGGACCTCGGTTTTTGTCCCATCCGAACGACTGGACAACTGTATCATAAGGTCTGTCATTGAGTCGTGGCCTTGATTCCCCGGTTGTGCGTGACAAGGAGTAGGGTCGTCTGTCCAACCCCGTGGGTTTTCTCCCGGTTCCCCGGTTTCCTCCCACCGCTAAAGACCCCTACGCGCAAGTGAATAAATAAAAATAAAATAAATTTGAACCATATGTTAGTTCCGAAATGACCTAGATTGTGTCGAGTGGACGTTAAACCACACCCTTGTCAGGCCCTCTGTCCTGCACCACTGACAAGGGGAATCCACGTCAGAGAAGCACGATAAACTTTCTCGGCCAATGAATCTCTCTCTCTCTCTCTCAACTGTTATTTTACGCGCATGTGTACATGGGACCTCGGTTTTTCGTCCTACCCGAACGGTTATACGTTGTGCCTTGCGAGGCCCGCCGTCCTACATCACCGACAATGGGGCACCACGCCGGAAAATACCGATGAACTTTCTCGGTCAACGCAGGGATCGAACACGGGACCCCCAGGTTAGCGAGCTAATTGTGTCACCATGGATCCGTTAAAAGGCCTCTGGAGATGTCAAGCAGGGGTTTCAACAAACGCAAAACAAAACAAAAAAAACAAAAACAAAGACTCTACTGTCCAAGTTATCTTAAAACATCCAATTTAATTAACATTCCGAATGGTACTAATTTTATTTACAAACGTATACTTTTGTTATAAACAAAATAATTAAGATGATTATAAAAATTTAATAATTTCGAATATCCTTCAGTTTTCTTAATTGTTCTTTTTTTCTTCTGTTTTTTTTTTGTGGTAAATGGAACATATGCCTCAATTCTGTTGAAGACTTAAAATGTTTCTCACTATAATATAGATAGACAATACCAATATGGTTACTTGAATAGGTAAATTTTTACTTCAATATGCTTAGATTCATCTTTCTTGTAACATACAGCAGAGCATGACTAATGCTGGCATTACAAAATGCTTTCCTCTGGGTAATATTCCTGATTGTTTACAATTTTGAGTGAAGTCTGAATCACTACAGGCCCGGGGCTGTACAGCGCAGTGGATGCTTACGGCTAGCCCCCGGATCCATTCACTTAATTTGATATGTTCGTTTTGTTTTTGTGATTTCTGCGTACTGTGTCTTGTCCGTAGATTTGTATTGTGTAAATTATGTGTGGTGCACTCCCCCTGCAGTTACCATTAGGCTTTTATTTAGAATTGCGTCACCCCAATGACAAAGACGACAGTGCGAAAAGTGCTTACTCCCCAGTTCATGGTCCGAAAAGTGGACAAGTTTAAAGTAGCTAAGTCTCTAACTCAATATCATCCAAAATCTTCAACATTGAAAACACGATTTATTTGTCAAATTAAATCAACATTCATGTTGTGATCTTGCCGGAAAGAGATGGGCTTTTGATATCCAATATTTAAGACAAAATAAACATTTTACCATTGGTACACGAATCGTGTACCATAATGCGCTTCAGCCCCAGTTGAATCAAGAGACTCAAGGGACGAGGCTAGACACATTTCACCAAATCAAACGGCGTATGTAGACTGGAATAACCAGACGCTAGAAATTTGCACTCGCTTGAGACTGCTGGCTTATTTCGCCGAACATAACTGATTTGAAATTGGAGTAAAAACGGAAACCATTGAATGTAAATCAGTTTATATACATTCATATTACAGTATTATATGCGTTGCGACCCACTTTTGTCAATTTCTAGGTCCCAAATGTTAGCGATTTAGCTCCTTTAAGCTTTTATAAAGCCTTAAGAACATGCGAAGCTTTAAAGAGTCACCCGTGCATATATAAATTAGGTATTTAGCGGTATTGAAACAATTTACCCATTCGAAACAAGGCTCATTTTGCCCAAATGACGTCACTTGCTGTGAAATTGAAAATCAGACCAGATCATATATTTCAGTATTTTGAAATGATTTTATATTTTGATCGACCAGCTGTCCCTTAGCTTCTAGACTTTTATATCCTAATATATCAAATACTATTTTACAATTCTCCTCTAGTTGCTTAGCACCCTCGAAACTTATAGAATACCGCCATTTTTGTGACGTTAATGACGAATTGGCGCGTGACGTACACACTGCGCACTTTGCACCGTCTTCGTTGCCGCTGGAAGTGATATTGTTCACATACTGTTTTACTTTTGATGTAAAATGGAGGTCGAGAAAGTTGTAAAGAGTTTTGGAAATTTTCACTGGATTGTCGCACAACTGTTCATACGATAAAAGATGGATTCTCCCAGGATATCTCCGGGCAATATCAAGAGTGACGTATAAGTCATCTATCAATCTATCACAGAACGTTTCAGTAAATTTAAATACGTCGGTTAACTTGTATTTCTTCATATTCACTTGAGACACAAACACCGCTCTTGGATCACGAACTAAATGAATTATTTTTAAATTTGAATTATTCGCCATCATTTCCGAGACCGTCTGCATCGGTAAGCGTATGACTTTAGCTAACGTCGTTTTCGATGCATAACAACGTTTCTGTAGATCGATCAAACACAGAATTAAACCAAATACCCCGTGGTTTGTCTGTAAACATCGATTGTAAAGTTTTGTAGAAAGGCTTTTAGAATAATAACCGGTACGGAGGGTGGAGATGTCGATTTCCTCAAAATCACAGGACAGAAAAGACTGGATAGTTTTCTCGGACAACTGGTGAAATGATTTCTTATCTTTTATTTTCCGTCTGAAAGAGAATAAATATATAACATTATTTTATGTAACCTAAACGATGTGGAAAATAAAATAAATAAATTTTAAATGAAATGAAATGGGGTTTAACGTCCTACTCCTAAACTGGGTTAATGAAGACAGGCATACGCCATACAGTGTGCTATGAGGGAAATTTTGCCCGGGCAGCGGCGCTACGGCCTACTCTTATATCGAATTCCAACTGCCAAGGGATCTTTTACGTGCACGCCAATGTGTACACTTGACCTCGGTTTTTCGTCCCATACGAATGACTATACAGCTGTCCTTGTCAGGCCCTCCGTCCTGCATCACTGACAAGGGGAAACCACACCGGAAAATCTGGATAAACTTTCTCGGTCAATGCAGGGATTGAACACCCGACCTCCTGGCTAGCGAGCCAGCGTCTTACCCACTTAGTCATCGTGATCCCCAATAAATTTTAAAATGTCTTGTTATAATGAATTGCTTTAATGGCATTTAGTAATTGAACTGGAATACAATTACTGCTTAATACTGAGGGACGCTTCGACTAGAGACGCCTAGTCGACACGTCGCTCATTAAACATAATCTGATTATTGCAAGTCTTTATTTAGGCTTCAGATGTCATAGAAATTATAAATTAGATCTGTATTTACACAACAAGCACAAAATCAACTCTGTAGACCCACGGATGGCTTGGATTCGGCTTGGATTTAAACAAGATTTTGTTGATTGATTAAATTTTTAATGGCGTCGTAAGCGGAGATTAACCGTTATGTTGACGTCATACTCCCGGAAATAATTTTAGATCGAGGCTAAATGATAGATTGTACGAAGCGAGGCCGCTGTTGAGCGAGGCCGCATGTCAGTCAATTTGATTGAAAGTTCGATATATACGGCCTTGATATTATGTTTAGTTGTGGTTAAAATGAGTGTTTGGATGTCGGTATTATACGCTCTTTTGTCACTTGCGTTTACAGAAAAATTATAGAAATTGATAAACATCGCAGCTAACATCACCCCAGTTGAATTGCAGCTCCATTGGATCACTGTTCGGGAGTTACGTAGACCTACCAGTTACAGTACAAGAGTACACGCAGGCTAACAAGAAGTCGGCTATAATTATGCCTCATTGATTTGGTCCATTCCTTTCAAACTTTCGCTTCTTATCTATATATTAAAAGTCTTATTTTTAATTTGTAGTAAAAATAAATGTGATACGAATTGAATTGCAACCCCGTCTCAAACCACAGCCATTGAAAACGTTAATTGATAATCGAGATTATGTAGGTGGAGTTAACGCCTGTCAATCAAACGATCGTTCATTCTCGGAGACGGTGAAGAGAGATTTGACTCCTATTTCTAGTCAAAAATTACAATAGTGATAACTTTGTTCAGAATAAAGTAATTTGACTGAAATTTTCAATATATTCTTCTTTCATCATCTATTTTTGAACTGTTATAGCAAGAATGGCCAACTCTCTATTAAAATCTCCCATAATGTATCTTTAATAGGCAGTAAACAGAATATGCTGGAAATTTCAGTCAAATTGCTCCACTCTGAACCGTGATATAAATAACATAGTCTCGATTATCCATTTTTGCATTTAATCATCAATAAGCGTTGAGCAGCTGATCGGATACAAATCAAGTGAAAATCGAACACATAAGATAGCATCGAGAGTTGACTAAGTTCTTTTCATGTTAATAAATTAATAGTTTATATAACATTTCAGGCCTAAAGAAAGACCTGCAATAGGTTGATTTAGCTTTTGCATAATGTATGTTTAAAAAATAATTAAATTTGCCTTAACGGGACCTCGGTTTTTTGTCCCACTCGAATGACTACACAGCTGTCCTTGTCAGGCCCTCCGTCCTGCACCACTGACAAGAGGAAACCACGTGAACTTTCTCGGCCAATGCAGCTCCCCCCTCCCCCCGCATCTACTTACATCGAACTAGAGTTGAGAAATATTAGAGGAATCGCACTTGTATTTAATTTATGATATCTGCCCAGCATAATCAGTGGTTCAAACACATAAAACACATCTGGGCTCTGTTGTATGATGTCACCAACCAATGACGAACCACTTCGCATGTACGTCAATAGTATAACGTTAGACTTCCGTTCAGGGAGGTCTCTTGGAATCCGAACTGAAAAAAATTAAAAATACATTAAATTGTAAGTAGGGGTTGTCTCCCCGGAATTTCTCAAGTTTCATTTAAACAATCGTCACTGCAGATTTTTTGCTTGAAATAAAATGAAATGAAATGGGAAATGAAATGAATTGGTGTTAAACGTCCTACTGTTCTGCTCCGAACTGGGCTGATGAAGACGGGCATACGTAATACAGTGTGCTACGAAGGAAATATTGCCCGGGCAGCGGCGCTACGGCCTACTCATATATCGAATTCCAACTGCCAAGGGATTTTTTTACGTGCACGCCAATTTGTTCCCGGGACTTCGGGTTTTCGTCCCATCCGAACGACTAGACAGCTGCCCTTGTCAGGCCCTCCATCCTGCATCACTGACAAGGGGAAACCACGCCGGAAAATCGGAATGAACTTTCTCGGTCAATACAGGGATCGAACACCCGACCTCCAGGCTAGCGAGCCGGCGTCTTACCCCAAATATGAAATGGGGTTTAAGGTACTACTGTTCTGCTCCGAACTGGGCTAATGAAGACGGACATGCGCGATGCTGTGTGTATAAATGAAATTCATGTGAGAAAGTGATTCGTGTAATTCATGACTTTTATTAAACTTAAAGGGATTCGTAGTTCACACTTTTTATATATAAATACAGTAACATTAAACAGATGACGAACCACACACACTGTGGTCTTAGCACCGAACTTTTACTTTGGAATGTCGAAAATCATCTTGCATAACAGAACCAACACACTTTGAAACCTGTTTCAAAAATACGTAAAAACTGTCAAATCGAAATCTCTCCGATTTATTTTCACAACGATTGTTATACATAAAGATACTAGTTATCTGAAAAACAATTGAATAGTTTTAGTGTTGGACTCCAACGGCGGACTGATTACCACTCGGCTACGCAAAATTTTACTCTTAGAAAAGTTGGGCCTGGTTTTGGGCCCATTTGATGGACACCCTCCCCCCCACTCGCGCTGAGCCTCCAGACTACAGTTATTTGTTGGTGTTTTACTACAGTTTAAATAAACTTGGAATAGGTTACCTGGCAACAACTATTCTTGTTCCCTGATGTGAATAAAGCTTATTTCATATACAGTAGAAATGAAATGAAATGAGGTTTAACGTTCAACTGTTCTGCTCCGACTGGGTTAATGAAGACGGCATGTACAATAAGACGCATGTGTGATGTTACACAAAGCGGTAATCCATAATTTGAAGATACGTTGCATGCAGTGGCTTTCTCTTCCACCCCCGCCCCTCACACACACACACACACACACACACACACATTTTCTGTCCCTCAGGGATATGGAGGTCGGATGTTCGATTCCTGCATTGGCCGAGAAAGTTCATCCAGATTTTCCGGCGTAGTTTCCACTTGTCAGTGATGCAGGACGGAGGGAGGGCCTGACAAGAACAGCTGTCTAGTCGTTCGGATGGGACGAAAAACCGAGGTCCCGTGTACAAATTGGCCTGCACGTAAAAGATCCCTTAGCAGTTGGAATTCGATATAAGAGTAGGCCGTAGCGCCGCTGCCCGGGCAAAATGTCCCTCATAGCACACTGTATGGGGTATGCCCGTCTTCATTAGCCCAGATTAAGAGCAAAACAGTAGGACGTTAAACCCCATTTCATTTCATTTTATTTCCATCTCATGAAGAGGTCACTTCCGTTATAGTATTTTTACTTACAATCTGCTGTTTTGGTTGTAATAATCCACACCATGACACCAATGGTAAGATAGAACAACCACCTCATCAACTTCCTGGAAATCATCGCACTTCCTAGCAGAGATAAAACACATATATAAAACCTAATTTCATTCCCTTCAGAAAATACCTGAATAAAACCTAATGATAAGATCAGGTACCGAACATTCAGATACGTGAACTCGCGTCGTCACGACATCATCTCTGTCGCGGGTTCGAGAACCTGCCACAGAAAAACTAACGCCAAGATGAGTACCGAACAGTCAGGTACGTTATCCCGCGTCTTCACGACATCATCTCTGTCGCGGGTTCGAGAACGACATCGGGACACGACATCGGGAGATGCTAATTGTAGGCCGGTTAGGGAGGTTCGGGAATTTCCGGAGCCCAAAATGGCCGCTTTTTATGAGTATTTTGGGGAATACTAACCCGAACCCTAACCCTAACCCTTTTAAGAGGGGTAAACGTTAAATTAGACCCAAGTTCAGTCTTCTAAAAAGGGTTAGGGTTAGGATTATAGGGTAAGTATTTCTAAAAATTTTCATTTATATAAAGCGGCCACTTTGGATTCCGGAAACACCCGAACCTCCCCAACCGACCTACAAATAGCATCTCCCTACGACATCATCTCTGTGTCGCATCCGTGAACAAATCATATATTTCACGGTTACGAGAACCCGCAACGTACAATCATATCTTTCACATAATCGCCATCCTGCCACATGACAACATCTCTGCCAATCTGATTAAAATACAGATCTATATTTCGTTTCGTTTTTTTTATACTTTCGATGGACCACACTACATGAAAATCTGACTGGTTGTAGTGGAAGGTCGCGGCGTTTAGCCCTATGACGTTAGACATTTGATTAACCAATCAGCGCTGATGTTTCTATTTGGTTACTCTCAGTTCCGTGCACCTCGCGCCAAAAACTGGCCGTAACAGACCGTTTCATTGGCTAATCCCTCCAGATCCGAGTGGAGTAAAGACAAGTAAAACGAAATTTGGACTATAAAAAAAGAAACGAGAGAGAGAGAGAGAGAGAGAGAAATGGGGTTTAACGTCCACTCGACACAAACTAGGTCATTTCGGGACTAACATATGGTTTAATTTTATTTCAATAATTCGCTTGCGCGTAGAGGTCTTTAGCAGTGGGAGGAAACCGGAGGACCCGGAGAAAACCCACGAGGTTGGACAGGCGACCATATTCATTGCCACGTACAACCGGGGATTCGAAACCACGCCAGTCGACTCAATGACAGACTTTATGATACAGCGCGCGCACGCTAACCATTCAGCCATCCAACCCCCCAAAACGAAACGAAATAGGATCTGTGCTTTAATCAGATTGCATCTCTGCCACAGATAAGCCTGGTGATAATTAATGTCATGAATTCCGATATAGTATAATACAAATGATTGGAAGAAACGAAACGTATGCAATAAAATGTATGAGTTGGAGTTTTACAAAATTGCCTCAACATCCATAGCAGAATTACTACAAGGTATGGAGTCAAGCTCAAATCTTACAAAACTGGATCAAAGCTGCACTTTGTATCAAAAGTACAGCAGATATTTGAGCATCAGAAGTTTAAGAAAACACAAGCACGTCTTTTCTCGAGTCTGGTCTTGAATATCAAGAATTGTACCAGTAAATGACAACAAAAAATGTTAACTGTGTGAATTTCTTGGACAAAGAAAACAACTAGTACCATTTACAACACTTTCCGCCATTTAAGGGTAGAATTATTTCTAGAAACGAGTTCTTTATCTTTTTGGAGACAAATCGTTCCAAATAACCTAGACAAATGAAGAGCTACTGCCATTTACAAATTTTTCGCCATTTAAGGGTATTTTCTAAAAAAAAACAAACCCCAGGTCTTTACCTCATCGAATACACACCCTTCCAAAGGGAAATACAATACCACAAAAAGTAATTTACAACATCTCCAGAGTAAAGGAGAAAATAGTGTCATTTGCAATACCACAGAGAGTCATTTACAACATCTCCAGGATAAAGGGGAAACTAATGTCATTTACAATACTACAGAGAGTCATTTACAAAATCTCCAGGATAAAGGAGAAACTAATGTCATTTACAATACTACAGAGAGTCATTTACAAAATCACAAGGATAAAGGAGAAACTAATGTCATTTACAAAACTACAGAGAGTCATTTACAAAATCTCCAGGATAAAGGAGAAACTAGTGTCATTTACAATCATCCCTTAATTTATAACAGTTTCCGCCATGTAAGGACATAATCATTTCGAAAAAAAAATTTCTTTACCTCGTTGTATGCAAACCTGTCTAGATAAAAATGCAATACCTCAAAGAAAGACGAGAAAATCCAGCGATTTGATAACTAAAAGGAGAATCGAACCTGGACCAGACACCTAAGCCAAATACAATCAATACTACATAAACTTATTGATTATTTGAAAATATCAAGCTGAATTTAACATAAAGTTTTACATGTATTTACTTGTATTTTGTTAGATTAACACAACAATATGTTACCAACCCATGTACTTTGATTCTGTTTACGTCCACGTTGAATCATACTGGTGAAAATTTCCATACAGAATTACAATTATTATTTCAGAATTTAATTTTCTTTTTTATTTCAAGATAGAAAGAAATTACCTTCTATAAAACTAATAGGGGGTTCTTTCACAACACAAGTTTTTCTAAAATTAATTATGTTTCGTATTGTAGATAAAATATCTCTGATCATATCCTGTAATATTACGAAATGACAACTCTCTCTATACTGAGGTGAGACCTCTACAGTACCTTCAACCCCATTCCCGGTTTCCTTCCACTGCTAAAGACCTCTTCGCGCAAGTGAATTATTGATATATATAATTGAACCATGCATTAGTTCCGAAATGTGTCGAGTTAAATTCCATCTCTATCTTTTCTCTTCCTCTCTGTCATCATTTATCTTCTATTCCTTTCTCTATACCCTCCCCCACCCCATCCTCGCTTTTCACACACTTTCCATTTTTCAGATCCCAGGTTTGGAAACACTTCTAAAACATGTGTGGTTTTCTAGTATACTTCCTTCAACTGGACCCCTTTTGATTTATGATCACATTTTTCGTAATTATTAATAACAAATGTCAAATGTACAGCCATTTATACAGTACAATATAACAACCACAACTTCAGTTCTTTCATATCACGCAAACATATATACAACAGATGACCGAATGGCCGGGAACCAAATATGTGATTGTGAAAGTTAAACACAATTGTAATTATTTTGGATTTTGCACAAAAAAATAATCAAGGTGTGATTTGACAATACTACAATAAAGATTACTAAATATACTGTAGGCTATTGTACTCATCGTTATAGGCTATTAAATTGTGCTTATTGGCTTATATTGAGTAATTAATGCAACGAGTCCCAAAGTATTTTTACATTCCATCTCCGATAAAATTGATCACCGTGCAACTATTGATTGGGTAGATCGTCACAACACTTAGATACATACAACACACCACACTGGTTTAGACAAATTGCAATTGAAATAGATTTATTTTATTATTATTATTATTATTATTATTAATGTTAATGTTTACAGGTAGACTGACGTGAAAGACATCGAGACACTAAAACAATAGTGGGAACATGATGATCATGCGGCCATGACAGTAAGACCGTCAACAGAAAAGTTAAGTGTCTTGTATAGTTTATGTAAAAGGTTGCTAAAGTGATATTAATCCAGTTTCGGGAGTGTCTGAGTAGTGTCTATTTAGCCAATTTTATGCTTATTATTGCACACTAAACGCTTTCTATAAATACTAGCTAGGGGGTGTGGGGGTTCGGTTGTGGGTGGGGGGGGCTTCCTAGACATTAATCCTATAATTCGCTATTGCCAGCTGAGAAATTGGCAAAAATATCATTTTTAACTTCAAATTCCAACGTTGGAAAATGGCTGCCCCATGTTGTCAATAGAAAAACAGGGGAGGTAATTGTGTTATTTCCTGTGTCATAGATTTTTAAGGGTGGGAAATAATGCCCATGATCGTATAACAGTGATTTGATAACCTATTGAGCAAAAGACATAGAAATAATTATGTTTTGACTTTCTTAGAAAATTTGAAATTCTCGCTTTAACACATGTTATTGGCGTTATCCGGAATGTTAATGGGGGTGAATTTTCACACATTATAGACGTTACCGGCAACTTCCTCATAACATAAAGTGAACCGAAAAAATAAGGTTTAGATAACGTCTTGGGAGTATTTTATGAAAACATTTCAAATCCGTGCCACGAATATATTTTATAACGTTCTTGTAGAATGTTTGAAGAACGACATAAAAAAAAACTTTCCCAGTTGACGTCAAGCGAACCTTTGTGTTACGGGAACGTTTCAGAAACATTTTCTAAAACCATTTTGGACAAACAGGCAGAAGATTACTTAAATTCGTGCTACGAACCTTTACAGAAACATCTAGTTAAAGGGGAAATTGCAAATTTTCTAAGAAAGTCAAAACGTAATTATTTCTATGTCTTTTGCTCAATAGGTTGTCAACTCACAATTATACGATCATAGGTGTCATTCTCACACTTTACGCCGGAAATAATAACACAATTACCTCCCAATTACCTGCCTTGTTTGCTATTCTCCACCATGGAGTAGCGATATTCAAACGTTTGAAAATGAAGAGGAAAATGATATTTTTGCCAATTTCTCAGCTGGCAATAGTGAATTATAGGATTAATAGGATTATTCTTTAACAATGTAAGACTGTTTATGGATACCATCTATTTTCAGGCTTTATTTTATTAAATTTTAAAAATATAACTTAAAAATTTGCAATTTCCGCTTTAACGTATCCTGTAGCGTTTGTAAATAACGTTTGGCTGACAAACATTCAAAACAAACGTCAAATAACAAAATAAATAATGTCTTGAAGACGTTAACAGTTGTGTTCCGTTAACGTTTCCTGTAACGACAAACGCACGTTTGCAATAACGTTGGCATAATGACAAAAAAAACAAACTTTCCTGGCTTAAGTCAGATAAACATTCAAAACTAACGTCAAATAACAAAATAACTAATGTTTTGAAAATGTAAACCTTAATGTTCAGTTAAACATGCATTATGCAAGAGCTAAATCTGCCTATTGCAGTTCTTTCTTTAGTTCTAAAATGTTTTCTAAAGTATTTATTAGACATTAATTAACTGATCCAGGCCTTAATCAATGCTCGATGGCATCAGATTTCTCCGATATTAAATAGATTAGAATGGTTCAGCGATACCTTGATTTAATCAAATATGGAGGACCGAGACTTAGCGTCGATCAACCAGTACGGCGGTTGAAATTATTGCACACGCCTGTCAAACCTTCAAAGGCTAATATCTTCGCTTGCAATAGAGTAATTTGAATGAAATTTTCAAATTATTAATTTTACATCATCTACTTTCGAACTATTATAGCAAGAATGGCTAGCTCTTTATCTAAATCTTACATAATGTATCTTTAACGTATCATGTAACGTTTATAAAAAGAATTGACATTACGACAAAAAAACTTTCCTGGGTTATAGCCAACAAACAATCAAAACGTCAACATTACTGTTCAGTTAAAGGCTCAATACCACTCTTGTTGTAACTGAATAATATATCCCAATCTTTATTCTGGTCAACAATTGTACTATTTTACAATATTCCAATTAATTGATGATACAAATTTCATCTTAACACACCTAATTTAAAAAAATGGAAAAATTCAACTAAATGATTTGAAAAGCCTAACGTAAACCTGTTCAAATGTGACTTGGATTTTAAAATATTTTCGAACCCTCTGGACAAGTAAAATAGGATGTAATGGATAATTTACACAGCAGGTAGGACACTTAAACATCTAGTACTTAGAATAAAGCTATTATACTATTAAAAAAAAGTAGGGGATATTTGATTTTGGGGGCATAATACTAAAATATGCAAATGACTACGAAAAAAGTCACTATAGAACCTAACAGAAGAAACATTTCCGGTTACATGTGACGCCCAAACGCACCAATAGCTACCGCATGGAATGCAGGTGATGCTTGGGATCATCATGGGGGTCCAACCCAAGATTTGCACGACTCTGACTTTGAATGTTACAGTCATTGTGGCATTGAATTCCAGGGTGGAAACATCAGTTTAATTGTTTTAGTGACCAGAAAACAAATTTTGGTATGCGTCGGCTTACCCAAAATGAAAGGTTACGTGCCCTTGGCATGCTACAGATCGGCACAACACAGGCGGTTGTGGCGCGGACGATGAATGTTTCTCAGTCTGTCATAAGCAGGCTATGGTCCAGATACCGTGATACACAATCTGTACAGGACAGACCACGCTCAGGTCGACCAAGGGCGACAACTCAAGCCCAGGATCGATTTATCCGTACCTTGGCCTTGAGAAATCGTGTCATCACAGCAAATCAGATCAGCGCTCGTCTTCAAACAGACACTGGTGTGAGAGTGAGTGGCCAGACGATTCGGAATCGACTGTATAGGGGTCACCTTCGCGCCCGACGTCCTCGCGTGATCCCTTGTTTGAGAGATCATCACATTCAGGCAAGACGTCGTTGGTGTAGGGATCGTCAACACTGGGATAATCGACGCTGGAGCAATGTGATGTTTTCAGATGAGTCAAGGTTCACTGTTGATTTTTTGGACAGACGTAGGAGGGTGTGGCGTCGTCGAAACGAGCGCTTCCAAGACGTTAACGTCATCAGACATGATCGATTTGGGGGTGGTTCTGTTATGGTGTGGGGAGGCATCACTGTTGCTGGAAGAACGGCTTTACATGTTGTTGCAGGGCGTGTTACAGGCCAGTACTACCGGGACAACATCTTGGCAGTCCATGTTGTGCCGTTCGCACGACGTCATTGCCGCCGTTTCATCTTCCAGGATGACAACGCAAGATGTCACAGGGCCAGGATCGTTACAGGTTACCTCCAACAACAAAATATCACCACATTACCTTGGCCAGCACTGAGTCCCGACCTCTCCCCCATCGAGCATGTCTGGGACATGCTTGGACAGAGGTTACGTCAACGTCAACAACGTCCTGCCAATGTCCAAGAACTTGCTGCTGCGTTGCAACAGGAATGGAACAATCTGGACCAAAATGACTTTAGACGTCTCATTAGGAGTATGCCACGTCGGATCAATGCTTGTTTGGCAAACAGAGGAGGATTTACCCGTTACTGACTTGGTTGTGATGCTGTGGTAACTTTGCTGTTTGACCCCGGGTATCATTTTACCCTTATAATGGTCAGTCTGTGCCTTACTTAGTCTAACGATCATTTGGAATAAATCGATGAACGTGAACTTCATTTCATTTTGTCATTTGTTTCTTCGTCAGTTTCATTAGGTGACTTTAATAACACTTAAAAATCAAATATCCCCTACTTTTTTTGAATAGTATATTTATTTTCTGGAGCTGTCAAGCCAGCAAGAGTGTCATTGTCCCTTTAACGAATCTTGTAACGTTGGACTGGCGACATAAAAACTTTCTTGGTTCAACCCGGGACAGACATTCTCTACGAACGTTAAAGTTGCAATTTCATATTTTTAAGTTATATTTTTAAAATTTATTAAAATAAAGCCTTAAAATAGATGGTATCTATAAACGGTCTTACCTTGTTAAATAATAATCCTATTAATCCTATAATTCACTATTGACAGTTGAGAAATTAGCAAAAATATCATTTTCCTCTTCAAATTCAAACGTTTGAAGATAGCTACTCCATGGTGGAGAATAGAAAACAATGGAGGTAATTGGGAGGTAATTGTGTTATTATTTCCGGTGTAAATGAGTTTTAAGTGTGAGAATGACACCTATGATCGTATAATAGTGAGTTGACAACCTACTGAGCAAAAGACATAGATATAATTATGTTTTGACTTGCTTAGAAAATATGAAATTGTAACTTTAAATAACGAAATATTAATGTTTTGAAAACGTTCGGAAAACTAAATTTTGTTAGCTTGGTAGTGCCATTTACATTTCCAGAATGCCATTTACAACATTCTCGCCATTAAAGAGTAGAATTAGTTTTAGAAAGACCGTTTACCTCAGCGAATACAAACCTTTCCAAATGAAAATGTAGAACGTCAGTCAATCTGCATTTATATTTTAATCAATCAATTTGTCAGATGAAAATAAAATAACAATAAACATCATTGACTTACCATAAAATTCTTGACAGTCATTTTAATCATAAGAAGTTATTGGTATACAGCTGTGATTTATGTTAGTTTTATATACATCCTGATCACTCTTTCTAGCTCGGTATTTAAAGTGTACAGATCTTTTGGTAAACTGATCGATAATTCTTGCATATTTGCTCGATCTGTCGATTTTTCTTGACTATGCTCATTTTAGCAACAATGAAGTTCATTTCAAAACGGCTTATCCCTATTGGATCTAAATATTTTAGAATTAACTGGCAAATAAATAAATAAATGTTTCCAACGCGGTATTTTAAGTGAACTGGTCGATATTTCTTGAATATACGGGTTTCAACATTAAATACGGCCATATAGTCTTATCCTTATTGAAACTAAATGTTTTACAATGATCTGCCACATTGGATAATAACTTATGTATGCTATACTTTATCGACATTCAACAGCTGTATGCATATGTTTCCTTAACTTTATGTTAACGTGCTATGGTCTCTTTGAATGTGCGGAGCCACGGTGGCTAAGTGGGTAAGACGCTGGCTCACTTGTCTGGAAGTCGTGTGTTCGATCGCTACATTGGCCACGAAAGTTCATAGGGGTTTTCCCGGCGTGGTTCCCCCTTGTCAGTGGTGCAGGACGGAGGGCCTGACACCGACATATGTCTAGTTGTTCGGATGGGAGGTCCTGTGCACTTAAAAGATCCCTTGGCAGTTAGAATTCGATATAAGAGTAGGCCATAGTGCAGCTGCCCGGGCAAAATTTCGCTCATAGCATACTGTATGGCGTATGCCTGTCTTCATTAGCCCAGTCGGAGAAAAACACTATAGGACGTTAAACCCCATGTGTACACGGGACCTCGTTTTTTCTTCCAATCCGAACGACTAGACAACAGCTAGCTTTATCAGGATCTTCGTCCAACACCACTGACAAGGGGAAACCAAGCCGGAAATCCCGATGAACTTTCTTGGCCAATGCAAGGATCGAACACTCGACCGCCAGGCTAGCGATCCAGCGTCATACCCACTTAATTAGCAACTGTTATATTTAAATTCATATCCCACACTTAGCATATATATTGACTCAATCTACATAGAAACAGGTTATTCTACCTGTATTATTATAGATTATCGATGTATAATATGTATATCATGTTGTCGATATAAACACGTGGTCTCAACTCAGTTACAACTGTAACATAGTCATCTCTCAATAGACCGGGGGGGGGGGGGTAGATGGCCGAATGGTTAGCACATGCGCGCTGAATCATAAGGTCTGTCATTGAGTCAACTGGTGTGGTTTCGATTCCCCGGTTGTACGTGACAAGGAGTAGGGTCGCCTGTCCAACCTCGTGGGTTTACTCCGGGTCCTCCGGTTTCCTCCCACTGCTAATAAAAAAACCTATGCACAAACGGATTATTGAAATAAAATTGAACCATGTGTTAGTCCCGAAATGACCTAGTTTGTGTCGAGTGGACGTTAAACCCCATCTCCCTCTCTCTCTCTCTCTCTCTCTCAATAGACCATTGGTTTGAGGAGTCATTATTCTAATGGTGTGTGGAGTCATTGTTCTAATGGTTTGTGGAGTCATTGTTCTAATGGTGTTTGGAGTCATTGTTCTAATGGTTTGTGAAATCATTGTTCTAATGGTTTGTGAAATCATTGTTCTAATGGTGTATGGAGTCATTTTTCTAATGGTTTTTGTATTTACGTTGAATCACGTTACCTCTACATGCCTGTATCAACATTTATCTCACTGATAATATTAATTAAATTTCATCTTTTTTCTGATCAAATCATTGTGAATAGTTCACAACAAGTTAACCAATTTGTTTTATTTTCAGGTAAAGTGGTCTATGTCATATTTGATGTTGTTCTTAGTATTACCCCTCATCAACCGTGATCACTTTCAAGATTACATTTTAATTAAGTTAGGTTTCCGTCAAGGTATTCAGAAGGGTGTCTCAAAAATTCACTCAGTAATAGAGAGAGAGAGAAATGGGGTTTAACGTCCACTCGACACAAACTAGGTCATTTCGGGACTAACACATGGCTCAATTTTATTTACATAATTCGCTCGCGCATAGGGGTCTTTAGCAGTGGGAGGAAACCGGAGGACCCGGAGAAAACCCACGAGGTTGGACAGGCGACCCTACTCCTTGTCACGTACAACCGGGGATCACTCAGTAATAAATAGGAATTGTATTCTATAGCATTGTTACCTGTATATACCTGTATATACCTGTATATACCTAGTCAATACATTACTTACCAAGTCAATACATTACTTACCAAGTCAATACATTACTTACCAAGTCAATACATTACTTACCAAGTCAATACATTACTTACCAAGTCAGATTAGAATGGCAAACCGTCTGTACATAATTCGGCGTTCGAACATGAAAATAGGAGTGTCTAGAGCAAGAGAGCAATTGGGTTTAACGTCTACTCGACAAAAGCTAGGTCATTTTGGGCCTTACACGTGCTACAATTTAATATTTCAATAATTCGCCGTAGCTGTTTGCGGATGCCGGAGAACTTGCACGGAAACCCTATGCCTTGTCACGTACAATAAATGAATTGAAAACCCCACTTGACTCACGTCATCTAAAGCGCACACGTTATGCCACCCCCTCCCCCATACAAGGTTTCTGCTAGCAAACGTTTCAAACAAGACCATTCTGTTTTGGATGAGGGAGCCACGATGGCTCAGTGAGTAGGATTTTGCCTTGCTAACCTGGAGGTCCAGTGTTCGACCCCTGCGTTCATCGGGAAAGTTCATCGGGATTTTCCGTTCTGGTTCTCGTTGTCAGTGGTGCAGTAGGGGAGGCCTGGCAAGAGACAATGGATGGGACGAAAATTCGAGGTCCGTTGTATAGATTAGCGTGCACGTTGACAGTTGGAATTCGATATGGGTGTGGGTGGGTGTGTGTGTGTGTGTGTGTGAAATAGCTTTATTTAACGACCGCTTCCACGGAAGTGATACACGATACTGCCCATAGCGATGCATCGAGAATACATCACTGCGCTAAATGCCGTCCAATTAAAACGCTCACGTTATCATTTCGGGTGGGGCTTATCGACTTTACTGCCAATGACGTAGCTAACTGTACACTTGCAGCCTCAGCTTGGGATGGTGATACACGTGATATTAGAGTGGCAGTAGCGCCTTTTATCCAGACACAATCTCCCTCATAGCACACTGTACGTATGGCGTATGACCATCTTCATTAGCCAACAGTAGGACGTTAAACCCCATTTCATTTCATTTCATTTCATTTGTTTTGGATGAAAATTATAATCATCGATTTGTGAAGTGGGCATCTGTCTTTATGTAAACAGTTTAAGCACACAACGATGAAACTGAATTAAGTGAAATTGGCCAATTTTTTTGGTGAAATGAAGATTTAATGCCATGCAGCTGGTTGGTAAGCTTACTGATCAATCAAACCAATTAAGTTCAATTATTTTTACCTGAATCAGACAGGTGTCACACCTTTAAGTATACTGAAAATAATAAATATGAAATGAAATGGGGTTTAACGTTAGGGCTGTCAAAAATATTGCTATATCGATATATTGCAATACGATCGTCTGTGATACATTGTATCGATACATTTTTGTCGTATCGAGATTTTTCTACTTTTATTTTAATTTTAAATGTTAGCTAGAGTGTTTATAAAGACTTGATAATCAGCCATATTATTTAGGCCGTGCAGTAAACAATGAATCGACAATGACATAAAAAGAAATGTTTGTTCACGTGATTCAGTCATATTATTGGCTTTGCAGTAAAAAATAAGTGTCCAAGACCAATGTTGTAAAAACAAAAAACTATTCAAAATAAAACTGTTCTTTGTGATAAACTCTTGAGTTTATCGAAGTATTTCAATAAATTTTTTTCAAGTATCGCAATATATTGCAATACGATTTTTGGCCGCAATGCACAACCCTATCTAACGTCCTACTGTTGTGCTCCTAACCTGGGCTAATGAAGACGGACATACACCATACAGGGTGCTATAAGAGACGTTCTTCCCAGACAGAGGCACTATGGCCTAATCTTATATCGAATTCCAATTGCCAAAGATCTTTTACGTGCACACCAATGTTCATCGTGTCCTGTGTCTGACCTGTGTAGAAACGCCATTGAAACAGTTTATTAAACATCAGTATAAGGAGACACTTCAATTTGTCCACCAGGCGGAATAACTGAAAGTGAGTGCAGAGTGTATTACAAACTGTATTTGTATCTAGAACTCCTCCAATTTGTCCACGAGGTGAAATAACTGAAAGTGAGTGCATTTAATATATTTGTATCTGAAACCCTTCCATAGCGGGTTAATAGGCCTCAGTATAAGACACTTCAGTTTGTCCACTAGGCGAAATAATTGAAAGTGACTGCATATATAATACATTTTTTGTTTCACGCCGCTTTCATTTCTGGATTTGGAAATGGGCCCCGACAGTTACTAAAATGTTGTTCATGTCATTCTTGGGAGCGACGCTCTTCGAGAAAAAGTCTAACTTTCCGTCAATTCAATGACGGTCAACATAAAACGTTACATGCTTGTTTTATGACGTCAAAATTACAAGATGGCTGCGATGACGTCATACTCCGTTCATAGTACGATGGTACGTATCAATTTGTGAAAACGGCCTTTAAAGGGTTATTTCAGAATCTTTTAACAGACTTATTTTTAAATCTGTAAAATCTTGAAGTGTTGTCACCGGAAGATATCCTAACGTGTTATATACGGTCAGACAGTTCGAGTCTACTGTTCGAGCATGATTGATGTCCATGTTTAGTCTCCATTGTTGAGACGCGAGTGCAGAGTTCGCTTTAGATACACACAAGGCACAATGTTCATCGTGTCCAGAAGCGGTGATATTTATAATATGTATCTGGACATTATCGGTTATATCGAGGCCAATAAATTTAAATATCGTTTGCGATACGCCTATTGGATCACGACTCAAATCTTCATATCTTAAAATGACGGAATTTTTATGCCGTTTCAGAGCTACAGCCATTTTAACATCTTTTTCTAACCTTTGACAAAATCGACTAGAATATAAACCAATACTATTTAGATCAAAGCCTCCATAATAAGCCTGTGATCTTAGAGTAGCCCTTGGATCTCTTACTAAATGGATAACTTTCAGGCCAGGATTCTTCATCATTAACACCGGGGCCCATTTCATGGGTAGTCTAATTGTTTTAATAACCGTCACGGAGGCCTTCAAGCAATGGTTGTAGAGAAACGATAAGCAGGTGATGATGCCGAACACTCCGGGAAGTCTGTATGAACAATAATAGAACTGTTTGGTCGATCGACTTCGGTCAAGATGGGCGTTATAGAACGAGGCGATATCCATCAGTGTAAATCTACAGTTTAAGAGATTGTCAAGGGTCTTTAAGGATTCGTCGAGATACAAAGGTTCGGTTAGTTCTCCGCTGAAAGAGAAATAAACCGAAATTAATGTAATTCAAATAAGGATGGAAGTGAAATGAAATGAAATGAAGTGAAATGGGGTTAAACGTCCTACTTGTTAACATCGACTGGGTTAATGAAGACGGGTCTGGAAATAATGGTTTTAAATGTACCTGACAAAATAGTACCTGATATTTTCATCTTAGTGCTGGACATGTATTAATAATATCAATACAAACGACAAATAAGGGCCAGACAAAATGACAGGCAATAAAGGTTTTTTTGTCTGATAAAGCCTGAATCTGTGCCTGACATTATCTGTGACAGGTGCCTTATTTCCAGGCTTGGAAGACGAACTGCAATTGTCAAGAGTTATTTTTCTTCCCACCCGAACAACCAGAAGCTGTCCTTGTCTAGGTCTTCGAAGTCTACGGGGCCCAGGTGTATAATTTTTTGACACTGTCATACGCTTTTCTGATATCAGGCATCATCCTCGGATTTGTACATTGTGTTTAAAAGACAATTTCATCTTCCTCTTGTTGTGGGATTGGGAGGATCCTCTCTTCATCTACATCCGTCACTGTTCCAAACTAATAGAAAGTGATATCGGGTGTTCCGGAAAGAGTAAATGAAATAAATGGGGTTTAACGTCCTACTTTTCTACTCTTACTGGGATAATCAAGACAAGCATACGCCATACTGTGTGATGAGGGAAATTTTGCCCAGATCGCTTCTCTATAGCCTACTCGTATATCGAACTCCAACTGTTAAGGGAACTTTTATGAGCACGACCTCAATTTCTCATGTGATCGTCCGAACGACTAGACAGAAAACCACACCGGAAAATCCAGAGGAACTTTCTAGGCCAACACCGGGATCGAATCCGCCACTTCCGGTCTAGCTAGCCAGCGTTATACCCACTGAGCCACCGTGGCTCCTCTTGAGAGAGAGAGAGAGAGATAGATGTGGTTTAACGTCCACTTGATACAAACAGGGTCATTTCGGGACTAACACATGGTTAAATTTCAATAATTCGCTTGCGCGTAGAGGTCTGTAGCAGCGGGAGGAAACCGGAGGACCCGAGAAAACCCACGAGGTTAGACAGGCGGCCCCACTCCTTGTCACGTACAACCGGGGAATCGAAACCACGCCAGTTGACTCAATGACAGACTTTGTGATCCAAACCCCCACACCCCTAGATAGAGTAATAAGTTAACTTACATACTTGGTTGATTGATAAACATCAATGGAAGTGGTAAATGTAATGATCTATGCCTCTCCAGCATCAATAACGGTTCAAACATATAAAATACATCCGGGTGATGTTGTAATACTTCCCCGGTAAAAGATGATCCACTTCTCATGTACGTCACAATCAGAAGTTTGCTTTTTGATTTCAAGTTGGCAGAGTTTAAATGATTGAAATATTTGTTGAGGCTGTTTATTTTATCTGATATAAAGGCATCTGAAACCGAAGAAAAACATTGTATTATAGACAAATCAACACGGAGTAACGTAAAGCACTCTCGGTGGTAGGTTTAATTTTTAGTTTACATCAATATCAAAACAACATCTGAAGTCAACTGTGTGGGAGTGTGTGTGTTGGGGTTGGCGGGGGCCCACGCTTGTGGAGTAGAAATACACGAATACAACATAGAAGCAACAGTACTCGAGTACAGCACAAATGGTCAGATCAATATTAACATTATCGTTTACAGAGACTTTTCATTGCATGTGTTCGTTTGTGTCATTTGATTCATCTGTCTTCGTTCAAATTTCATGCCCATATATAGACATGTGTGTAGCAATACATAAAACTAACTGTTGTTAACAGACCGATTTCCGTTTAAACTATGGAAACAGAATGAATATTTAACGTTATATATATTGTAATAACGCATGACACCGACCCTATTAAGTATAGAATGAATAAACACACGTGAATGTACGGACTGTTTCTATTTTTCTCGTTCTCTTTTATCTAGTGACATTCAATTCCTTTTTTGAATTGTCAGATATCCTCGCACAGTCTCACATAACAACTTCTGGTCTTCGAAGGAATTATCAGTGGGCAGAAATTCGCCTGTGTATCTGTTATAGCTCATTACTTCAGTCAGTTATATAGAAGAATAACTCGTGTTTTCCTTTTGCGTTCGTCACTTCCAATTGTAAAAGTCTTCATTACTCATCTACATCTATCGTAGCAATGATCACTGTGTTAAAATTATATTTGGAATGTATTTAACGAGTTCTATCACATATGTGATAATGACTGACAGGAATATTGTCCTTTAAATATTCTATATTGACCTAAATTAAATATGAATGATAGTTCCTTTAAACAAAATATGAACGTGTTATCACTAAAAGTCCAAGTTACTAAATTATTTAGCTACGCGATTCCACCACAAGATAAATTGAGCGTGTTGGTGGGAGCCGCGGTGGCTCAGTGAATAAGGAGCTTGCTAGCTAGCCTGTGGGTCTCGAGTTCGTTCCCGATGTTGGTTGAGAAAGTTCCGCGGGATTTTCCGTCCGGTGTGAATCCTCCTTGTCAGTGGTGCAAGGCGGAGGGTTTGGCAAGGCAAAACGTATAGTAGTTGGGATGGAACAAAAAAGCAGGCTCCCATCTACACATTTTCGGGCACGTAAAAGAACCATTTGCGCTTGGAATTCGATATAAGAGTAGGCCATAGTGCCGCTGTTCGGGCACAATTTCCCTTACAGCACACTGTATGTCTTCATTAGCCCAAACGGAGCAGAATAGTGGGACGTTAAATCCCATTTCATCTGAGAGATGGTATCAGATAGTCCGTTAATAGTGAGCTTACACTGCATCAAGGTTACTCAAAAGATCTAACACTTACCATCAGAAGCATATTCAGCGACTTGACGATGTGCTTTATTTGAATTAATCTCTACGGTTTCATCGCTCGAATCCGGATCCTTGAGTAAAGTGGATTGCTCATCACTTTCCCGCGTAAATGGATTAATCTCCACTGGGTTATATTTGTGGTGAATCTTCGCCCCGGCCTCGCCAACTGTCTCTGTGTGGTAAATTCGGGTCTCAGCCTCGCCAACTGTCTCTGTGCTGTAAATCCGGGCCTCGGCCTCGCCAACTGTTTCTGTGTGATGTTTGTGGTAAACCCGGGCCCCTGTGTCTCGTACAGCTGCTTCTGAACTTCCTTCATAAGACAAACTGCTGGGTTCAAGTTGAACATTTCGTATTCTATTAGTATATCGCCTTCTCCATCTAGTATCTACAAATAAATGTTAACTTTGATTCAAAAGATGACTAAGGAAGTAACCCCACTCTTTAAAGTAAACTGTCTTTTGAAAATGTCAAGGCCGCTGACCTTTTAACTCCCTTTGTTCTCATTACCAGGAATTACCGACGCTGAACATCGAAACGGTGTTTATTTCGAACATAACAAATATGAGTGAATTCTTGAGGGACAATTTTGCTGCTCGATGACAGGTCGAATACATGGTATAATTGTTTTCGTTTAAATGAAATAAATTAGATATCGACGTCTACTGAAGACAAGAGATTGAGAGAGAGAGAGAGGGAGAGAGAGAGAGAGAAATGGGTTTAACGTCCACACGACACAAACTAGGTCATTTCGGGACTAACACTTGGTTCAATTGTATTTCAATGACAGTTAACTCAATGACAGACCTTATGATACAGCGCGCACGCGCTAACCATTCGCCCCCCCCCCCCCGCAGAAGACAAACGAAAGCTGTATGTATTTAATATCAGAGTTTGATGTCTTAACACTAATTAATTCTCATACTTCGTCCAAAAGAGATAGTTATATTGTTGAGAAATGGGTATATGCTATAAATATAATTTAGATACGCTGACTTATTGATGTGTATATGCTATAACATATAATTATGGTAATTTGACTAACCAATGTGTGTATATTGTACAAATATTATAATTAAAGCGGTGTATGTTATAAATATTATAATTAAAATGTTTGTCCTACCGATGTTAGATATATATAATTATATTGTTTGACTTACTGATGTTATAAATATAATTATATTTTTTTGACCTACTGAAGCTATAAATATAATTATAATGTTTAGACTTACCGATGTGTGTATATGTTATAAATATAATTAAAACGGTCAGGGACAAGATTAAGACCAGTCTAAACGCTACATATATACTCGATTTCATCCCTGGAACAAAAAAAAACATATATAAATTACTGTAAGATCAGTACACCGTATTTTATTTTGTAGTTCATTGTGAATGTCAGATCTTCTTGGTTGCGATTATAGGGAACCATGGACCAGTGTAGATATTGTGCGACTGGCGTTTGAGGACGAGTAAGTTGAAGGTGTAAACTTCTAACCTGCAGATTTCAAAGTACAATAATATATTTTACATGTCCAAAATCGTATCATTCCTTTCGCGGATAAGTGGGACGCTGGTTTATAAATATCCAAGTAGGTTCTCGACATCCAGGTAGTGTGAACTACAAAGGAAGAGAACTCTACCTGGGAGAGTGATATAGATCAGGAAATGAACATGGCGTCATCGCCGTCATCTTGGAATTGTGACGTAAGGGTATAATCGAAGTCCGTCCCTCACAGGACCAAGCATTCCAAGTTTTATGTCGATAGCACTTTATCTGACCGAGCCTTAGGCTTTTGTCCAAGAGCTTCGCCCCCAAGAAAAAGAAGATGCCCAAAACGATAGGCAGTGCTTGGGGACGAGTCCCGGGTCCAAACTGATTTTTAAAAAAGAATTAGGACTATATATATTTACCTGTAAAACTATATCCAGTTTCATTCAATATACAGAAATATTCAAAAACTAACCGCCAGATGCTAGATCAATCAATAGATGCCTTTAAACATAGTTTATACTTTATCACACGTCATCGATGGCTTAATATCAAAATAAATGGTTAGTTAAAGTTAAAATAGATGATAAACCAATACCAGTACTATATGTTTCAATAGCTTTTATTATTGTTAAAAAGTCATTAGAACACTATATTTCCTGTCAATGAATAAAACTCCCTACAGAAACCACTTTAGTTAGGCGCCATGTTGGCGTCGGTCTTGATGGAAAGCGATGAATAATTACAGCTCAGAATATAGTTGATTATCGAAGAGAAACCCTGATGGCCCTTACGTGCTCTCTCTCTCTCTCTCTCTCTCTCTCTCTCTATTTCTCTCTCTCCCCCTCGGAAGGAAATGAAATGAAATGGAGTTTAACGTCCTACTTTTCTGCTCCTAACCTGGGCTAATGAAGACGGGCATACGCCATACAGTGTGCTATGAGGGAAATTTTGCCCGGACAGCGGCACTACGGCCTACTCTTATATCGAATTCCAACTGCCATGGGATCTTTTACGTGCACGCCAATGTGTACACGGGACCTCGGTTTTTCGTCCCATCCGAACGACTAGACAGCTTTCCTTGTCAGCCCCTCCGTCCTGCATCACTGACAAGGGAGAACCACGCCGGAAAATCTGGATGAACTTTCTCGGCCAATGCAGGGATCGAACATCCGACCTCCAGGCTAGCGAGCTAGCGTCTTACCCACTTAGCCACGTGATCCCCCCCCCCTCGGAAGGAGAGAAGAATAAGGAGAAGAATGGCCGAGCAGAGTTGTTTCCAGGAAACATGCGAGATAGCAACGACATACATGATGGTTGGCGCTATGTAACGGTCAACATGATTTTATACTGTAGTAGTTGCATGTTTCATATTTAAAATTACCCCCCCCCCTCCACCTTCAATCAACATGATCGGGTTCTCAAATTTCTAACACGAGAGACTATTGTATATTATACATATTTTATCCGTATTGATATTACACATCAATAATACACGAATATGTATATTCACATATAGTAGTATGAATGACGATAAAATCGATCTTTATATCGATTCATTGATTATTTATTGTAGAAAGTGTAAAATTACCAGGTTTACTTCTTATAACCAAATATGTTGAAGTTTACAGATAACAAGAAATTTATCAGGTAAGATATATTATCACATGCTTAATTAACCTGTCTGTGTCTATTACAATCTGGTTAAAACACAGATCCTATTTCGTTTCGTTTTTATAGTTCAAAGTTTCGTTAAACTTGTCTTTACTACACTAGGATCTGGAAGAGTTGTTATCATTGACGTGTTCTGGATGCTGTGAGGAATTGGCCAATGAGGCGGCCTTTTGATACACGAATCTTTGGGTAAACCAATAGCCCAGTTGCTGCAGAAAAGAAGGACGTTGAAGAAACCATGTTTCACTTTTTTTTTTTACTTTCAAGGCAATATTCTAAAAGAACAATGCTCAATCTGATTATAAAACAGACCCTATTTCGTTTCGTTTTTTTATAGTTCAAAATTTTGCTTTATTTATCTTTACTACACTGTGATCTGGAGAAGTTGCTGTGTAACCCGCGTTCTTGGTGTGCACAGAACTGTGGGTATTCTACTAGAAACTTCAACGCTGATTAATTAATCAATGTCGGACATCATAGGGTGAAAAGCCGCTCGTATGACCTATGACGCGACCTTCCACTACAACTGGTCAGATCTCCATATAGTAGTGGCCATCGAAACTATAAAAAACGAAACGAAATATAGATCTGTACTTTAATCAGATTGTATATATTAGGACAGAAAATGGTGTCTATAATATAGCTTTGGTGTGAGGAAATCCATTTGGGGTTTTACATCCTCTTCCGGACTAATGATGTCGGACATTCGCCATGCCGTGCGTAGTCAGTCAGGGCATGTTTTACGTGACAGCGGCGCTATGGCCTATTCGTATAACCATAGGCGTACGGGCTCGATGAATGTTAGGGGGGCAGAACCTGAAATGCCCGAAAATGCCGATTTCATTTCCAACCATCCAGGCATACTGTTGGAACTGCATTCACAAATAATAACCGATGCTCGAAAAATGTCGCACAAAGTAGAGTGGCTCCAGACAAAATGTTTTAATCCATTTGTGGTATTCAATTAAAAGAAAAGTAAAATTAGTGTTTTATTAGATTTCGACCACATTATTTTGCCAAATACATGTATATGAAATAGTATTTTTTTTTTTTCACTTTACCCGTCTGCCCGAAAAGTCACATTGCCTGAAAGTTAGAGGGGGGCAGCTTCCGCCCCACCCCCTCCTTTTTCGTACGCCTATGCATATCAAACTGCCAATGATTGTTGAACGGTTACACATTAGCGTGCACAGAAACGAGAACGCTAGATCGGAGAAGAGACGATCCTGCACATATGACTTCATATGTTGGGTTAGGGCTAGGTTAGGCTTGGCCCAGGGTTAGCGCTAGGAAATATCACAAACTAAATTTCCATCCTCTTATATCAGTGCTTATGTGGAGACTTAACCTCTCCCCCATATTCTTAAACCTAACCCACAATCTACATATGTCGTCATATTTGCTAAAATGCGCAGCACCGTCTCCGGTCCAGCGTTCTCCCGTAAACGAACCCTTGTTGACAGAAAGCGGCGTTGCGATCTGGGCACAGCTCACCAAATATTCCTGGACCGTCACTATTCCTGGGCTGTCACCCACGAAACAAAGGCCAGGGCTATTTTTAGTCCTTCTCCGCCTTTCTCATTTTCCCCTTTTTGCATGGCGATCTTTGTTGATTTTTTGGTATAGAATTGATGAAGAAGGTTGAATATACATTTTCTACCAGGTTTTGCTGAATATTCATGATTTTGAGGCGGAAGGATACAAGAGTTGAGAGGTTGGTTAGGTTGAAATGTACTGCGGAAAATTGCATGTTTAAGTGTCTCTACTTCCAGCTTGTATATCTTAAAATTTTCATGATGAACCTCATACGTGCTTTTGGGCAAGAGGTTGCCACATGTTGTTCCATCTGTGGTAGAAAGCGTTCTAGCCAACGAAAATTTGGGAAAAAGTTGGAGCAGGTCTAAGAGACGAGAATTAACATTAAAGTCAATGGGGAAATCATTGGTGATCTGTGGCCTTCTACTTGCTAGTTTCTCCGTCAAATACCAAGGCACTCGCAAGGTAGATCCCGCCGCACAAATCCCAACCAGTTTACGACCTGAACTTGTTATCTATATAAATGAATTTGTTTTAATTGTAGATTTGTATCCCGGAAGGTTGAGAGATATTGGATGAATTCTAACTTAATAATAACAGTATGTGTTGTTATTATGTTATTGTTGATGTACCATCAGTTAACAGGTGGGTTAATATACACAGTATATAGTATATCTTATACACTTAACAGTTGGGTTAATATATACACAGCAGTATATCTTATACACTTAACAGTTGGGTTAATATACACAGCAGTATATCTTTTACACTTTCATATACACATCATTTTATTTTTTACACGTTATGTATCGTATATATTTGCATACACACACCATTATATCTATTACACGTTCATATACCCAACATTTGATCTTATACAATTTAATATACACAATATTATATCTTATATACTTGCATACACGTTCATATACACAACATTTGATCGTATACAATTTAATATACACAATAATTATTATATCTTATAAACTTGCATACCCGTTCATATACACAACATTATATCTTATATACATTCATAGACACAACACAATATCCTATACACGTTAATATACACAACATTTTATCTTATACACTTAACAGGTAGGTTAATATACACAACATTAGATCTTATACACATGTTAAATCGGATGTATCTTATACACTCTCATATACACAACATTATATCTTATATACTTTCATATACACAACATTATATCTTATACTCTTAACAGGTAGGTTAATATACACAACATTTTATCTTATACACAACACTTTATCTTATACACGTTAATATACACAACATTATATCTTATACACGTTAATATACATAACATTATATCTTATACACGTTGATATACACAACATTATATCTTATACACGTTAATATACACAACATTATATCTTATACACGTTAATATACACAACATTATACCTTATACACGTTAATATACACAGAATTATATCTTATACACTCATATACACAACATTATACCTTATACACGTTAATATACACAGAATTATATCTTATACACTACATTATATCTTATACACGGTCATATACACATTATATCTTATACACTCATATATACAACATTATATCTTATACACATGTTTAATCGGATATATCTTATACACAGAGTTATATATACAGCCTGTGAACATGTGGAGATAACGTATACACTTTAATTGGGGTGCGGTAGGGGTATTCTGTCCGTCAGTTTCTCTGTTTGTTTACATTTCTTGTGCCAGAATATAAAGAATTTGTTAATTCGACTAATCATGAATTAGACACACTGGGTAGAAATTATTGTGTGTAAACAAATCTTGGATTTGGGAAAGAAAAGCAGCTGGGAGAAGAGGGGTGGGGTCAAAAAAACAGGGGATGGGTGGGGAGGGATAGGGACGAACAGATGAGGAGGGGTCAATGGAAAAGGAGCAGTGGTAGCGGAAGATGAACGATGGGGATGAAGGGTGGGTAGGGAGCCCCGGAAAGAAGAGTGGGGTAAGATTCGCTATGATATATGATATCATCGGCATCTATTTGTATTTCAGATAACATCCATACACGACAAACAAAATGTTCAATGGAAGAACGAGCAGATGAACTACCCATATTGTCAAATATTCTCGATTATAAATCCAGGAATAAAATATTGGAACAATTTGGATGGACAGCAACACGACCCCAGAAAAGAGTTATCATAGTTACATACATGCGCAGTGGTTCCTCCTTTACCGGAAGTATAATAGGCGCACACCCGGATGTGATTTATTTTTTTGAACCTCTTCATTCTATGCACAAATATAAAGCCAATTCTAGACGCTCCAGACCATCCATGTTTATTTTAGATAATGCCAGGTAAACTATTTCACTTATTATTTAGGAAGAGGGCCCTTTTCATCGGGGGAGGGGGGGGGGGGTGGCCGAATGGTTAGCACGTACGTGTTGTATCACAAGGTCTGTCATTGAGTGGCGTGGTTTCGAATCCTCGGTTGTATGTGACAAGGAGTAGGCTCGCCTGTCCTCCGGTTTCCTCACCCTGCTAAAGACCCCTACGCGCAATTGAATTATAGAAATAAAATTGAACCATGTGTTATTCCCGAAATTACATAATTTATCTTTACTATATATTTCAGGGACATATCGGATATGGGCTCATCTGAAGAACTAACTCAGCAAATTTTGGAATCGTACCTCAATTGTGATTTTTTGAAACTAGATTTGAAGACCTTACAAGATAGGTTCCCTTTCCTGTATCACCAAACGACTCCGTTTACGGCTTGTAGTCGCAGTAATCCGGGGTTGATGGGCGTTGTCCAGTGTCTAGCAACATTGTATAAACAATGCACACAGTCGAGCGCAACAGCAATAAAAACCATCAGGACATCGATGTACACCATCAGGCAACTTTTGAAAATAGACACAAATCTTAAAGTCATCTATCTTCTCCGTGATCCAAGGGCGACAACTCTATCCCAACTTTACCTAAAGCGCGCGGACCCGCCTCTTAAGTTATACAACAGAACGTCACAGAAACTTTGTAACACGATGTGGTTAGATATCGTCATGGCAACCAAACTAATGAAGCAGCATCCGGATAGAATTATAGGATTGATGTATGAGGATTTAATTCGCGATCCGTATAAAATAGCCAGAAGAATGTTTGAATTTATTGGATTAGAATACGATGACGACGTAACTGATCATATTAAAGCCATTACAAACGGAAAAAGGGACGGAAAATGTGTCACGTGTGTCAGTCGGAAGAACTCGACGAAAACCGCGTTAAGGTGGCGACAGGAGATAAATTATAAAGGTGTGTTAGCTGTGGATGAGAATTGTCAGAAAGTGTACCGAATGACTGGGTATTTACCGGTATCAGGTAGTGACGTACTCCGCGATAGGACTATAGATCTTCGTGTACCACCTAGACTCCCAGTTTTGGCTTAATGTGTTGAAACTGACAGTTCTTGGTGTTGATATGATACGAACAGGTTGATTTAATTAAATTATTTACACTTAATTTGTTTAAAATTGGTAAAAACATGCAATACAAACGTCTGTGTATATTAAAAGTCTCCTTAAAATTGGTAAAAACACAAAATAAAAAGTCCTTGTATATTAAAAAGTCAATTTAAAGCACACTTATAAAATCGCTGTCGTGAGAAGAGAGGGCGGGTCATCTTCTCCCTTTGTCATAATAAAAAGAGATTGATCAGTACGAATATTTGTATCGATTGATCAGTACGAATATTTGTAGTGATTGATTAATACCTATATTTGTGGTGATTGATTAATACCTATATTTGTATCGATTGAGGGGGTTTGGATGGCCGAATGGTTTGCACGTGCGCGCTGTATCATCGATGGGAATTAGGGGACCTGGAGAAAACCCACGAGTTTAGACAAACGACCCTCTCCCTCTCGAATAGATTTGGTGGTACAAACATGTTTTTCTTCAGTAAAAGTTTTTGTGTTGCTGTAGATGTAAAATGTTTCTCACCAGTATTTCGGTCATTTGGTAATTTTATATTACTATGGTTACGAATGCAATGCACGGTAGAAGAATTTGGCCCGAACAGCAGCGATATTATGTTCACAAATGCTCGTCTACGATTTCCAACTGCCATGGTTATTCTTTTACGAACATGCCGGTTTGTAGACGAATGGCCCTCAGTTGCAACAGAGTAAAATAAATATTATATGGAGCCGAATCGGTGTCATATTAGGAGGAAATATTGTGGTAAAATTTCAACAGAGTAAAATAAATATTATATGGAGCCGAATCGGTGTCATATTAGGAGGAAATATCATGGTTAAAATTGCAAAATTATCACAATACAAATGGTCATTTTCGAGATTTTTGGATAAGTGAAAATGCAATGGAGAACATTTGATAGTTTAGAGGTGTAAATTCTCTCTTCGGGTATAACAGACTTCTTTAATATACCGGAACATAAATATACATATATCGTCATACAGTACTGACAGGGCAGTTACTGCATTCAGTAAGAGATCCTAACTAGTGACTGCCTTCAATGTACAAATTTTGTAATATTTAAGGAAAATCAGATAAAAAGATAAAAGTAAATGTAATTAAAACTGACATGTCGATAGATGAACAATGCATAAAAGATTAAACAATATAATAAATCAACAAAAACAATAGATGGGATTAACGTCGTTACCAATGACGGCTTGAAAAGTGGTGACAGGTTGACGACTTGCTAGGAAGTTGACCTTAAAGTGGTGAATTTAAGAAGCATTAATTATATTAGCGATAGCAGATTATCTCACCATTATAGTATCTTATTCTCTAGCATGAATTATTTTATGTCTATTTAGATTACTACTGTTACTAAATGATTTATCACAAACATCACAAGAAAAGGGTTTTTGATCGGTGTGGGTTCTGACATGTGAATGTAGATTACTACTAGTGTTAAATGATTTACAACAAACATCACAAGAAAAGGGCTTTTCTCGGGTATGAGTTCTGGCGTGTATATGTAGATAACTACTAGTGGTAAATGATTTATAACAAACATTACAGGAAAAGGGTTTTTCTTGGGTATGGGTTCTGGCGTGTACATGCAGATAACTATTAGTGGTAAATGATTTACAACAAACATCACAAGTAAACTGTTTTACACCGGTATGGATTCTGGTGTGTTTGTGTAAGTCACTAATAGCGGTAAAAGATTTACTACAAACATCACAAGAATAGGGTTTTTCGCCTGTATGGGATCTAGCGTGTATATTTAGATAACTACTAGTCGTAAATGATTTACAACAAACATCACAAGAATAGGGTTTTTCACCCGTATGGGTTCTGGCGTGTTTCTGTAGATTACTTCTATCGGAAAATGATTTTGTACAAACATCACAAGAATAGGGTTTTTCCCCCGTATGGGTTCTGACGTGTGACTGTAGATGACCACTAGTGATAAATGATTTACTACAAACATCACATTTATATGGCTTCTCACCCGTATGAATCATAATGTGATTATTTAAACTAGTAGAGTCTCTTAGTGATTTACCACAAATATCACATTTATAGTTCTTTTTGGAGACAGAATGCTTTGACATTTTCAGCAGCTTTTCTCCTGATCTTCTTTCTGTAAAAAAAAAATAACATTAATTTAAACGCTATTCATAAACATAGGTATATTTTCCAACTTCAGGGGGGGTTGGATGGCTGAATGGTTAGCGTGCGCGCGCTGTATCATAAAGTCTGTCATTGAGTCGACTGGCGTGGTTTCGAATCCCCGGTTGTACGTGACAAGGAGTAGGGTCGCCTGTCCAACCTCGTGGGTTTTCTCCGGGTCCTCCGGTTTCCTCCCACTGCTAAAGACCCCTACGCGCAAGCGAATTATTGAAATAAAATTAAACCATATGTTAGTCCCGAAATGACCTAGTTTGTGTCGAGTGGACGTTAAACCCCATTTCTCTCTCTCTCTCTCTTTTCCAACTTCAGGTAAAATATCAGGTCCCGTGTACAAATTGGCACGCACGTAAAAGATCCCTTGGCAGTTGGAATTCGATATAAGAGTAGACCATAGCGCCGCTGCCCGGGCAAAATTTCCCTCATAGCACACTGTATGGCCTATGCCCGTCTTCATTAGCCCAGTTCAAGAGCAGAACAGTAGGACGTTAAACCCCATTTCATTTCATTTCTATAGCCATTAAAAGGCTACAAACAACTAACATGAATTCTTATCTCTTACATTTTCCCAAATTTTATTTGGGTTGAATGTTTTTTTACTACATATGGAGCAGCATGTGGCAAGGTCTTGCCCATAAAGTATAGATGAAGTATGAAGTTAACAAGGTAAATATTGAGATACACAAACTGTAACTTAAACATACATTATGCAAGAGCTAATTCTGCCTATTGCAGGTCTTTTTTTAGGTCTAAAATGTTATCTAAATTATCAATTAGACATTAATTAACTTATCCGTACCATAATCAACTCTCTATGACATTGCTAGCCTGCGATCTTAAGTGGATTATGACCCGATTTACTGCATAACTTCCCATCACGATTTAATCAATAAATGGATAATCGAGACTATGCTTTTTATCGTACTGACTTTAGTAATGATGATCGAGGCTAGGCGGAAATTTCAATCGCTTAATTCTCGGTTCGTAGTGAATCAATTTGACTGAAATTTTCAGCAATTTGCCTTTACATTATCTAGTATCTAACTATTATAGTGAGAACTGCCAACTCGTTATCTAATCTTCCATAATGTATCTTCAAGAGAGAGAGAGAGAAATGGGGTTTAATGTCCACTCGACACAAACCAGGTCATTTCGGAACTAACACATGGTTCAATTTTATTTCCATAATTCGCTTGCGCGTAGGGGTCTTTATTAGTGGGAGGAAAACGGAGGACCTGGAGAAAACCCACGAAGTTGGACAGGCGACCCTACTCCTTGTCACGTACAACCGGAAATTCAAAACCACGCCAGCTGACTCAATGACAGACTTTATGATACAGCACGCATGTGCTAACCATTCAGCCATCCAACCCCCCATGTATCTTCAAAGGACAATATTGGTGTCAGTCATTATCACATATGTGATAGAAGTTGTTAAACATGTTCCAAATATAATTTTAACAAATAAGGTAAAAATTATGACCTATAGATGGAGAAAGAGAGAGAAATGGGGTTTAACATTCACTCGACACACACTAGGTCATTTTGGGACTAACACATGGTTCAATTTTATTTCATCAATTCACTTGTGTGTAAGGTTCTCTAGCAGTAGGAGGAAACCTGGATGGCCCTGGAGAAAACCCATGAGGTTGGAAGGCAACCCTACTCCTTGTCATGTACAACTGGGGAGTTGAAACCACCCCAGTTGACTCACTGACAAATCTTATGATACAACATGTCAGTGCTAACCATTCGGTCACTCAACACCTTGCTTTTATTGCACAATCAGTGAATATAACATTAGTTTTCATTGGATAGTTAATTTTTCTCACCCAATCATTATTAAGTTTAAGAAAAAATACAATAAATGAACAGTTGATTGAGCTTGGGCTTTTGTTTGTTATTAATGTCGATGCCAAGAATGATTATTCTGCACTTTTATTCGCTACCAGTACTGGTTCACTATCGGGCATAATGCATTAATTACTGAAAATTTTATTTAAACACTTCAATGCATGAAATACAGAGTATATTTTGAGAAAATATTTGTTAAAGATTCATTTAGATGAAACATATCATGTTAATCAAGTTACGGTATATTACCTTTCACAGTAAGCCTCTGTAAATCTCATGAGTTGTTACCTTTAACAGTAATAAATCCAGCTATAAAGTCTCTTGTTGTGAAGATGTTTATTTAGCAACTGACCTCAGAATAGTTTACCTCCAGCTATAAAGTCACTTGAAATCTCTTGAGTTGTTAGCTTGTAAACATCAGTTTCATCCTTTACATCACTACTACAGGACCAATACTGAACCTGAATAAAGTAAATAATTAATATTAATTGATAATGTTCATCAAGTGACATAAATTATCAACCATAAAACTTATAATCCTATCTATAGAATATGATTAAGTTATACATGTATTTATAGCTGCAATTTTTAGCCGAGATAAGTCTTATCTACGGCTGCAATTGATACACTATTTGACTCTTTGAGCAAGTAAAATTAGGTTCAGTTACAAAATTTTCAACACATATCATCATAGTTTGCATGGAAATAAGATACATGTATTATGTTACAAATAGTGAAGAGTGGAACACAGAAATCTTAATCTTATCATACCGAACAGATTTTCTGTATTTTCGAGTGATATAATTATCACGTGATTCTGGTACATGGCCATTTTAACTGAACAAAAATTTCGCGTAGCAGTTGGGTTAAATCAAATCATATAATTATGCGGTAAGGTTTCACCTTTATTTCAATGAGAATTGGTTTATTACATGTTAATTAAGCTATGTACAGTACAGTTTGGGGTCAGTGTAATTGGAAATTAAGGGAGTTATAGGCCAGCAACTTTTTTGTAGTCAAATGACTACAAAACTTGCGCAAAGGAAGGCCTTAGGACGGTCCACTACTGTGGCTGGAGTAAGACGGAAGACATCATTAGTGGCACCATTTCTAATGTATTTATAGCACGGCATTCATGAGTTAACAGGTTTAACCAGAGG